GATTCCTTTATTCAGAGATCGCTCTCCTTGCTGGAGACTTCTCCTTCGACAGTGCGTTTGGAACTACTCGCTAAACTTGATGCTGACTCATTTACTAACGGCCAACCTTTCACAGACCAGGATCTCAATAACATATGGCTCTAACACGAAAAAGGACAACAGTGATAAGATATCCAAGCACAAGGCTGAGAGCTTTGTAAGCTTCAAAGTGTTTGATCCCACCTCCGGGGTATTATACAAGCTTAAGACGCATAAGGTTAAAGATCTGTCTAGAGTGCTGACTGCGCTTGGGCCTCATGGTGTTGTGATAACACATGGAGACAAGAATGGTAAGAACAGTAAGAAAAGTAAGAAACAGGTAGACAATTCAGGTGATGTTGAGACGAGCCATGAGACCAAATCATCAAAGCTCAGAGGGTTTTCAAGTGTACTTGCCAATGCAGAGATTGAAGAGGAACCCGTTGAGCCTGTAAAGGAAACACCAAAGGAACAAGCAACTACAAAGACCGCTCCAGCCAAGAAGGGCAAGAAGAAGAAAGGTAAACGTTAGCCAAAAAGGTATAATTCTGATTAATTGGTGCCATAGTTACTGTTCGCTGCCTTTGTCAATTTGGAGTACTTTGCATTTTCTAAACTGGTGATGTTTGAATGTATGAGACCAGTGCTTTGGACTATCTTGTAATCATTCTCCAGCTGTACAAGCGATGTCTTCAAATCGTCGTCAACGGTGTACTGTAGCTTATGGCACAGCGAGTTTACCCTGCGTAAGGTATCGTAGTCCAAGCACTCTGATTGTAGGTGTTGTATTAATGTCTCGACCCGCTGTTTGACGATGAGTAAAACGTCTCTCTGTGTGTCAACCATGTCTTTACTCTGTGACATTTCAGTGTTTGAGTCCCTCAGGGATAAGACGGTGTTTACGGCTTCATCTCCAGAATGTACTATCTCACACCTCAGCTCCTGTCCATTACAATCGAACACTTTGAAGTACTTGCCGTCCTTGTTCACCGCCAAATCTGCACTGAACACCAGTGTAAACTCACCCTCCAACCCATCCACAGGCTCGAATCTCAAATCATCAGATACCCTGTAACAGCCAATGATGCCACCTTCTTCAGGGTAGATCTGTGACAGCAGCGAGTTTCTCAGCGTGAGTAGCTCTACATCTAATGAGCCATCCTTTGATACTGGGACTTCGAAGGAGTTGAGTATAAAGATCCCGTCATCGGCCTTGTAACCCCTCAGACACCCCACGTGAGATAGATTTCTCTGTATCGAGTCAGATATGTTTAGCAGAACCAGGGGACTTAGCTTTACGGACATTACTTTCGGTTGTTCCTCTGTCGTCTATGCTGTTCTTTATTGTATACACTGTTCTATCTAAGTGGATGTGTTGCCTCGGACACGAGCAACAAACAAAAAAAAAACCTATTCCGAGGTCTTCATCACTCGGCCAACGCTTGTTCCACAACCTCGACAACAGGTCTTAGGAAGTCCTTCTTATTTGGAACGAAATGTCCACCATCGTGTTCAAAGATTTTTCTGTTTGATTCTGGATACAGCTCTGACAAGTACTTTGATCTTTCACACGGAACACTGTTATCGTTCAAGCCATAGATGAAGACGTTAGTTGTGTTGTAAGCGTCGTCGTCGACTGGGACTTTGAACGACTCTCTGTACTTCTCAGTGATCTGGAGCCCTTCTCCATTCTCAGCTGGCTCTGTGAAAGAATAACCAGAGACTTGGATGGCGATTTTGAAGTATGGCTCGCCTGTGAGTTTCTTTATTGAGTTGGCGATGATTGTGGAAAGTGCTGCACCTTGTGAGAAGCCCAAGATGCCGTCATACGGCCCGTTGGTCTTGATGTGGTTAACCACGAAGTCGATAGCGTCGGTCAAGTCCAAATTCTTGGAAACGTTATCGTGGTAGAACCAAGCTCTGTTGACTCCAATATCGACAATCTCCTTCCACTTATCGTCTTCGATTTCAAAGGGCAGGTCTTTCTTCTCGAGAACCACTGGACCATCGATGTAATCCATTTGGATGTTACTCTTCTTCAACAGTTTACGAAGTCCAGAGGACTTCTCGGAGAACACCTTACCGTTTTGCAGAAACCCGTGCAGACAAAGGATCTTTGGCATGTTGTTGATTCACCTGGACAGAAAGAAGAGGAACATGAAAAGAATAAAAGAAGAAGAAGAAAAAAGCGAGATAGATGCTGTTCTAAAGTCCGCTTCAGCATGATTCCATTTCGCAAATTTTCATTTTATTTCCTTTTTAGGAAATAACAAACGGTTTACGCAAATTTTCACTCGAATGCGAAGGTTCACGCCAATTAGCGCGCAAGTTTCTGGCTTTGCGTTTTTTTACCCCGGATTTTGGCATAAAATGAACAAACAAACAGACAATGCCAACAAACAATGCCCCAAAAACGGCGCCCGAACTCCGTTCTCCCCCTTTCTTTTTGGTGTCATATTCCAACTCCGCAAAGGCTCGAAACACGTTAACAAAGACAGCAGCAAAGGCATGCAACACACCTCCGATTCTCCTCTCCTAACATGTAAGGTTCATTAAAAAAGAAAAGGGGGAGCCTCCTAATTTCTGATCAGCTCGAGTGGGTGGGGGTAATTGAGGCTGTTGTTTGATGAGTTAAATTCCACAAATGGTAATTGCTGTAGATCAACATGTTTGGTTTCGATTCAGGTATTTAAACGAGTGTTTGTTCCGTGTTTGCTAAGGCTGTGTGTTTCTTGTTTATACCAAACGTCAACCTTGAGCAACGCGCAGATCAGAAGTATTAAGCCTTGCAGATATGCCCTCAATCACAATTCCTGAGACGATGAAGGCCTCGGTCTTCAAAGGCGCACACGACATTGAGTACACCACTGTTCCAACTCCGAAGATCGAGTCGCCAAAGGATGCAATCTTGAAGATTGAGGCCAGTGCTCTGTGTGGTACGGAGCTTCATATGTATCGTGGTGATGTTGTTCCTAAACGTGCCGATTACATCACAGGCCACGAGTTCAACGGTACAGTTGTTAGTGTCGGTGATGAAGTGCGCGATTTCAAACCTGGTGATGATGTTCTGTGTACGTTTACATCCCAGTGCGGTGAATGTTGGGCCTGTAAGGATGGGTTAAGTTCGAGCTGTGTCGATTCGAAGGTCTTTGGCACATGGGCCTTGAACGGTGGCCAAGCAGAATACGTCAGAATTCCATATGCTGATCATTGTCTATTCCCCTTGCCGAAAGGTATGAATCGTAATACAGCGCTATTGATGAGCGACATCTTCCCCACAGGGTGGCTTTGCGTCAACAATTACTTCAAGAAAGTCCTCTACGACAAGAACCACATTGCAAACGACGTCATACTTCAACTAGGTGCAGGCCCTGTGGGCCTGTGCTGTATCGCTGCAGCAAGGGAAATGGGTGTTAACCACATTTACGTTGCAGATAGCGTTCCAAGTCGTTTGGAACAGGCCAAGGAACTGGGGGCAATCCCTATAAACATCAATGAGGTTGACAATGTTGCTGAATTCATGAAGGAGAAGACGGGCGGGAAAGGTGCAGATGCCATCTTTGAGTTGGTTGGTAATGCCGGTGCACTGAGAACCGCATTTGATAGCGTTAGATCCGCAGGGTTTATCAGCTCTATTGGTTATCATCATGAGCCTCTCCCAATGGACGGACTGGAGTGCTATCTAAAGAACATTTCCATCCAATTCGGGAGATGTCCCGTGAGATCCATATTTGAAGATGCTTTCAAAGTGTTTCAAAAGATTTCATATAAATTCGACAAATTTATCGACCTGGAGATGCCTTTGTCTGAAGTGTCTGATGCCTATGCTGTGTTCGACAACCATAAGGCTAGAAAGATTGCGTTCAAAATCGATCAGTGAAGTTGCTCCTACACCGCTAAAGAATGGGAACACGCTCACATACAACTTCTGACATGTCACACGGCGTAGACCATCAGTCACCATTTGTTAGTCTGCCACGTTACATATACCCACAGTGTTAGTTCTTGACTGCTGTTTCGTTCCATTGTAGTTATTGCGGCTGTTGTGTTCTTCAGTGTTCAGCTTGTAGTTTCCAGAAGATAATGATATCCTAATGTATTACACAGACAACAGCTAAGCAGTTATCGATACAGCTCGCTTCCACTTCGAGCTCCAGCTAAACGTTGCTATTAAGATGAAATAATG